TTGTATATATTGATTTGATTTGATTTATAAAGTAGAAGCCCATGTCCCTTTCTTTTAATAATAGTAAGATGAAATCCCATTTAATATTATCAAATGCCTTTTCTGTGTCCAAAAAGATCAGTGAGAATTCTTTTTTATTATTTGCCTCATAGTATTCAAGTATATCTAAAATATTCCTCAGATTTTGAATGTACTTCATCAGTGTCACAAATAGACGGTGAAGCGACAGCTCCCCTGGTGGCCAGAATACCCTCAGGAAAAAGCTGGAATGTTAAATAGCCTCTGTGTGTCTGTCTATATATGTTGTGCGTCTATGGCATTGAATGTTTGCCATATATATGTACATTGTAATCCGTCCTGAGTCCCCTTTGGGGTGAGAAGGGCGGAATATAAATACTGTAAATAAATAAATAAATTTTGTTTTGCATTTTGATTAATCTGAAAATGGGTCTTTCGTGCCTTCCGAATGGATGGTATGAAATGAATACCCGAATGAAACAAATGAAACAAATACTGTGCACTAGTCTATTAGCCAATCCTACTCTAGCTTTCTGTGCCTGCCTACAACAGGCAACATAACAGTAACTGTCTCTAGAATTACTTACTGAACATGAATGTACAGCAAAACAGAAAGATAGCAGGAAAATGGTTTTTCCTGAAGTTTGAATGCATTGCTCCATGCTCTAGTGTCAGTGGAAAACAAGCTTGCCCCTTTCTCATTAAACCAAATATTTAAACATGAGGCAAGGAGATTCCACTTGAACATCAGGTAAAACATTCTGGCAGCAAGAGCTGTTTGACTGTGGAATATACTGTTTTGTAGTGGGTGAACCTCCTTCTCTTGATGTTTTTAAGCAGAGGCTGGGTGGCTATTTGTTGGGGGTGCTTGGATTGGGTGTTCCTGCATGGCAGGGGAGTGGACTGGATGGCCTCTTCCAACTCTATGATTCTACTATTGACTTCTGTTGAGAAACCACCATCATTAAAGGCCTTAAGGAAGATGCACTTTTGGATTGGAGGTTTAGCACAGCTGGAAAATCATCAGCAATTATAAGATCTATTAACCAAAAGATTGCAAGTTTGAATCCCCGGGTTGGCGTGAGCTGCCAACTGTCAGCCTAGCTCATTGATTACCCAAGCAATTAATAAACAGCTTTAGCTGTGATTAGAAAAATTAGGTACCGCTAAAAGTGGAGGAGGTGTTTTACGATGCCATAAAGAAAGAAGATCAGAAAATGCTGGGCGACCAAAATGAAGGAGGAAGTCCTGACGGCTCTTCGGCATAAGAGGATAGAGCAACAGCACCCCCTGGACTCAAGTCCAGGGGAACCTTCCCCCATGGAAGATTCCCCTGGGCTTGGAATCTTCCATGGCACCTCCTTCTGTTCTGTTCTGTCTGTCTGTGTATTGTTGTTATTATTATTATTATTATTATTATTATTATTATTATTATTATTATTATTGGTTTTGGGTAGGTTATGATTCTTTGAAAAGTATGAAGTGTCATATGGGGCATTTGAGTAAGCCTAGACATGCATGAGGATTTGGGCTCTTACATTGTGCCCAACTCCTGTTTTGAACATCCTGGTGCAATTGCTGATATTGCTGAACTGGGAAGCTGGGGAAAAGACGGACTATCCTGTTTTCTAGGCAAGGAAATATTTCATCCTTGTGGATAGAGTCCTTTATTGGATTTAATTACGCTCAAATGACAGGGGGATGGCAGTGTGGTCAAGTCACTTCACAACCCCATGGGAAGACACCAGCACCTTGCCATGCTTCAGAATTCATTGGCTCTGATTTAACTTTGACATTGAATCCCTTAGATAAATGACACCGGATCCTGATATTAGAGCGGTGAACTTTAATATAATCTGTGCAAAAATAGCAGGAGGCGGCTGCAACAAGCTGTTTAATGCTGCAGACAAACTTACGAAACAAAGGAATTTAACACATTCTGATCTCCTTCCAAAACTCTCCCTGTTTAATTCTTCAGGCCACATTAGAGACCAATTCCCTTGTGCAAAGTGAAGCAAACAGGGCTAAGGCAAAAATTTTGGTCCTTTGGGTTTCAAAACAGGGATAAGATACAAAATATGTGCTATTTTGTAATGAACCACCTAATTGTTTATATGGTCACCCCTCTACTTTTGCATATTTCACTTTCATGGATTGGATTATTCGCAGATTATTTGAGTCCACTGCCTATTTGGACTCATTATGTGGTCTGTTCTAATATCTTCCAAGTTGCTTTCCTGACTTCGAAATACATTAATTATATTCCAGAGTCACATTAATATATCTGTGAGGGCACAGAACCACTTTTGCTGTCATATCCAAAAGACACCAAAGTGCCAGGAAGACAGGATTATAGTAGCCAGTTAGAGGAATTCTATCAGCATAGGCACAGTGTGGTTACTGAGATATAACAACATTATAACTATTCAAAGCTACATGCTCCATTTGGGTAATAATGGGGCTGGCCAATCACAATACATGGATTTGCATAATGAGCACCTAAGAGAGATAACTACACACTAATTATGCAAACCACGCAACCATGACCTATCAAGGTACAGGAAATACCCATAACTACCAAGAGCATTTTAAGAAAATGTTCAAATGTTCTGAATATCTATATTTACTGTAGATTTCTATCCTGCCTTTTATCCTTGAAATAACACAAGGTGGCATAGATGGGTTTCCAAGGCAGCCTCTTATCCTGGCATAGAGGACCATTAGGTCCTGCTTAGCTTCAATAAAGGGGGTTACATCAAAACCATGCTCTGGGATTTCAGATATAGTATCAAGACAATGCGCTGCCTAAGATAAGTCACCAAATTTTGATGGAGGAGCTTACAGGTAAACATGATCTGTAACTGTCACAATTTGGCAGAGATATGTTTGGCGGGGACGAGAGACAGGGCCTTCTCTGTGGTGGCCCCTCGGCTATGGAACGCCCTCCCTAAGGAGATTAAATTGGCTCCTTCACTCCTAACATTTCGGAGACAAGTCAAGACATGGTTATATGAGCAAGCGTTCACAAATGCTGAGTAACTGACATAGGAAAGGGAATCACTCGACAATGGAACTTGGATGACGTTATTTAACTAGGAGATGCTGATGATAATGATGTTGTTTTTTATTGTTTTTATTGTTTCTATTGTGATTTTATATTGTTTTTATGTTTAATTTGTATTTTGTTGTGATGTTTACTGACTTGTTGTAAACCGCCTTGAGTTGCCGTTAAGGCTGAGAAAAGCAGTATACAAATATAGTAAATAAATAAATGAATAATCCTGTACACTATTATATCACCCTTCTTTGAAATGTCCTGGTTTTTCTATTCCTCTCATTCTTCCTTTCTCCTCTGCATACTTCAAAATGAGTTCAAAGTCCCAGAAGGCTCAAGCAAAAGCAAACTGCTGCTGTCTCCCCTAGTTAGTGTGTTCTCCTTCTCCTTTGCCATCTTGACACTGCTCTGATGTTGCTTGGCTCTATGTGTCTCAGTTTTCATCTGTGAAATGTTGGAGGGTATAAGGTAAAGGTAAAGGTTTCCCCTGACATTAAGTCTAGTTGTGTCCAACTGTGGTGGGTGGTGCTCATCTCTATTTCTAAGCCAAAGAGCCGGCGTTGTCCGTAGACACCTCCAAGGTCATGTGGCCAGCATGACTGCATGGAGCGCCGTTACCTTCCTGCAAAACAGAACCTACTCACCTTTGCATGTTTTCAAACTGCTAGGTTATTTTAAAAAATGTTTTAAATTAGGAGACACAAACAGCTTATTTTTTTATTACTTTTGTTGGGTTTTATACTATGTATTAATGTTCTTGGGCATCAAATCGTTGCCTCTCTAAGCTTCCCTGAGTTGCATGAGGGCTGAGAAGGGCAGTATACAAATAGAGTAAATAAATAAATAAAATAATAAATAGGTTGGCAGAAGCTGGGCCTAACAGAAGGAGCTCATCCCGCTCCCCGGATTCGAACTGTCAACCTTTCAGTTAGCAAGTTCAGCAGCTCAGCAGTTTAGCCCGCTGTGCCACCAGGGAACCCTTATTGGAGGGTATACAAGTATTCTATCTTCCTTACAGATTGTTTTGAACGGTGGCTTATATCAGAGGCTATAATGCATAATATTACACCGATATAGCTACATCGTGGCATGATGTGCAAACCTTCCCTGAATAAGAAAATAATTCCCAGCAAAATGTCCTCAAAAGCACTTTAACTACTCGTTGGATGCTCTCCCTTCCTTTCTTTTTTACCTTTGTTCATGCTCAGTGTTTATTTTTTAAATTTTAAACTATTACATTTGGTCTGGTCATAGGTTTTTAAATCCTTCTGTGTTATTGTTTATATGTGAGTTATATTAATTGTATTGTTTTTTGTTTATCGCTTTTCTGTTTTATTGATGTGTTGTCGGGCTTGGCCTCATGTAAGCCGCTCCGAGTCCTTTGGGGAGATGGTGGCAGGGTATAAATAAAGTATTATTATTATTATTATTATTATTATTTAGAAGGCTGCAATGATGCCCATTGGGGTTCCATTGCACACCAGATCGCAGTGCAAAAAATCTGTTCATGTGATGGGAGCCTCCTTTGCACAGTGCACCAGAGCTGCTATGCAATAGGCCTACTGCTGGCTTCGGTGATCCCAGTGGGTATAACTATTCATAATATTAATGTTATACTATAGTATAATTCTATCTATCTAAATGGCGCTCCATGCAGTCATGCTGGCCACATGACTTTCCCATGATTGTCCTAACTTATTCATGTGGAAAAATTGGGATTTTTTTGGTGTTCACCTCGTCAGAGATGTCTCCAGCTGTAGAGCTCGGAAAAATTTTCTTTCTGTGCTATCACCCCCAGAATCTCCCTAAATAACTTTTCTAAACTCTGATCTGGAGTACAGTCTGGAATTATGGAGCAGGGGAGGAGGGAGATGTGTAGAATACAGCATCAATCGATAGGATTGACTGGCACAGGCCAAAACATTACCAGGTTGTCCAGTTCAGGGTCATCACTGAAGAATGGTTTGTGCTCTTGTTCTTGCTGATGGACGAAATTTTCAATGTCAACATCAAAGCTGGCAGAAGTGATACACTCCGAGCCTTGCGTAGCCTGCTCACACTTCTCAAACAGCAATGTAAGGAGGGGGAAAAGGGGATGCCTAAGGACAAAGGAAAATGGAAAAGCAGTTCAGAGACAAATGCAATTCAACAATGGCAGTTCTATTTTTCTGATAGATAGAACAATTTTGGGCTGCGGCTCATTTGAGGACTGAAGGATTTGCAATGCTTCCAGAATGATTTGAAAGGACAACCCCAATAAAAATTGATTAGCTTTATCCAAATATTTGGAAAGTGCAGTGATTTGCTACCTTGTAAACATGAAACTTGAGAAAAGCTTTGAAAAAAAAGTTTTGAGAAGAGAGTTCCAGATTCCCCAGTCGCAGGCTATACTAACTAAGGACTTTCCCAACCTTGCAGCTTAAGTTTTGGCCAGCATGCCATCACCTTCAATCAAGAAACAGCTTCCTAAGATCCACAGAGATACTTGCAGGAACACCTCAGCAAACGAGAGTCCAAAAGTGGCAGGCTAAAACCCAGAACCTTAATCCATGGCTGATATCAGATTAGAAACTCCCTCCTGGACACACAGAAGACTTGGCAACTTGGAAGGCGCTGAACAGACTGCGCTCTAGCACTACGAGATGCAGAGCCAATCTTAGGAAGTAGGGCTACAAAGCTATGGAGTCCATGATATGCGAGTGTGGAGATGAGCAAACCACAAACCACTTACTACAATGCAACCGGAGCCCTGCCACATGCAAAATGGAGGACTTTCTTACAGTGACACCAGAGGCACTCCAAGTGGTCAGTTTCTGGTCAAAGGAAATCTAATATAATGCCAAGTTTTTAATTTTGTGTTTTAAAATAAATTTTAACTGCACTTCCTATGCACACTACAGCTATCTTATTTGTAAAAAAACACATTAAAACAATACAATAATTTAAATGAAGAACAATTTTCACAAATATAAACTTATTAGTATTTCAATGGGAAGTGTGGGCCTGCTTTTGGCTGATGATATAGGATTGTTGTTGTTGTTGTTGTTGTTGTGTGCTTTCAAGTAATTTCAGGCTTAGGTTGACCCTGAGCGAGGGCCGGTTAAATGATCTTGGAGGCCGTATCTGGCCCCCGGCCCTTAGTTTGAGGATCCCTGGTGTAGTTTATACTGCCTCTCATTAAGAAAACCCCGTCAGATCCAAAAGCTGGCTAGCATTCTGCTTGGGATGCATGTCTTCGTAATGGTCTCTATGTGTGAGCAAAATATGCAGTGGGAACCAATGTGCATCTGGACACCCAACTTTTTTTTTCATGTCAGGAGCAACTTTAGAAACTGCAAGTCACTTCTGGTGTGAGAGAATTGGCCATCTACAAGGACATTGCTCAGGGGACGCCCAGATGTTTTGATGATTTACCATCCTTGTGGGTGGCTTCTCTCATGTCCCCACATGGGGCGCTTGAATCTCTCTAGATTCAAACCTGCGACCTGTCGATCTTCAGTACTGCCAGCACAAGGTTTAACCCACTATGCCACCTGGGGCTCTGATAAGACACCAACTAAGAAGTGCCAGAACACAACGGAAACAACCAGTGCATATTAGAAGTGGCCACCAATGCACACTGGAACACCCTTGGTGGTGTCTATTTGCATGAAAAAAGTTTTGTTGCATTTCTGTAATGCAGCTATGCATTTGTGAAATTATGAAATGCAGAACGCCACCAATGATGGACCTGGAACTAACTTGGCACATACAGCCCCCATGACCAGCAAAAAAATACTAGCGTTTTTTGGGGAAAACTCATCTTGATTTGGGGGAGTTGTAGTTCACCTACATTCAGAGAGCACTGTGAAGTCAAGCACTGATTGATCTGGACCAAACTTGGCACACATACCTGATATGCAGAAATATGATTACTGGAGGGGTTTGGAGGAGTTGTAGTTCACCCACAACCACAGAAACTGTGACTTCCACCGATGATGGACCTGGTCCAAACTTGGCACAGAGAACACCCATGACTAACTCAACTTATTGGAGGGGTTTGAGGGCACTGACTCTCCATAGTGGGAGTTGTAGTTTACCCTATAGCCAGAGAGCAAACTTGCTCAACATTACAACTTGCTCAACATTACAAACTTTAAGTACTGATGGAGTTTCTCGGGGTTAACCTGGCATGATGTCATTTGCGGTTAAGCCACAACCCTATGCATTTGGAACAATTTTTTAAAAAATGACTTTTTCAAATAACCCAGGCAACGCTGAGTATCCAAGCTAGTAATAAATAATAATAACATCGGCATTGATTAGCTCAGAAATTAAAATCACTTCTTAAGGTTTCGCAGAGAAAGTAAGTTAGCTACATAGTCAATAGTACATTTCATTTGGCTATTCTACTAAGTCTCCCAAAGTGTATTACAAATAAATTAAGCACTCCATACCAGCATTTCTCAACCTGTGGGTCGAGACCCCTGTGGAGGTTGCAAGGGGGGTGTCAGAGGAGTTGTCAAAGACCATCAGAAGGCACAGTATTTTCTGCTGGTCCTGGGGGTTCTGTGTGGCAAGTTTGGCCCAATTCCATCATTGGTGGAGTTGAGAATGTTCTTTAATTGTAGGTGAACTATAAATCCCAGCAACTACAACTCCCAAATGTCTAGATTTATTTTCCCAAGTCCACCAGTGTTCACATTTGGGCATAGTGAGTATTCGTTCCAAGTTTGGTCTAGATCCTTCATTGTTTGAGTCCACAGTGCTCCCTGGATGTAGGTGAAGTAAAACTCCAAAACTCAAGGTCAATGCCCACCAAACCCTTCCAGTATTTTCTGTTGGTCATGGGAGTTCTGTGAGCCAAGTTTGCTTTAATATCATCATTGGTGGAGTTCATAATGCTCTTTGATTGTAGGTGAACTATAAATCCCAACAACTACAACTCCAAAATGACAAAATAAATGCCCCTCCCCAACCCCACCAGTGTTCACATTTGGGTGTATTGGGTATTTGTGCCAAATTTCATCCAGTGAATGAAAATACATCCTGCAAATCAGATATTTATATTACAATTCATAACAGTAGTGAAATCGCAGTTATGAAGTAGCAACGAAAATAACATTATGGTTGGGGGTCACCACAACATGACGAACTGTATTAAGGGGTCATGGCATTAGGAAGGTTGAGGACCACTGCTCTACACAATGACTTGGTAATGGGGATACTGGACATGATATCAGAGATGATATTTTCCTCTTGTCCTCACAGATGTGAGAAACTGGAAATACCATATGCCCATTCCACTAAGGGATGAAAGCCACTCTTTATTTAATCAGAGTCAGTGTGCTTAAATTTCTTTAATGCCTATTGTCTTTAATGTCTATCTCAGGAGTCCCGTGAACCAAAAGATCTATTATACACATCAACAAATCAGAGGAACCAATGGATTAGCCAAGCCTTCCCGGACCAAGACAAAGAGAAAGACAGGTGAAGGGGTTAAACTCTAGTATAAGTCTTCATTTGCAGCTACTAATACTGCAGCATATTACAGTCTAATCTATACTGATCCCAGTTTAATGCAAGATTCTCCAAGCCAGGCGCAGAAAGCAAGGGGGGAAACCTCCCTAGTTGTAATTTAGGCAGCCCTGCTGAGGCTTAGCTGAGGGATATGAAAGGCAAATTCCAGACGGTGTTATGAATTATTTCGCCTTATGAACCTTCATACTCTCAACAGATGCCTGCTGCCATTTAAACAGACACTAGATCAATTAGAAATGAAAAGCACAAATCGACCCTGTGCAAGGGCACTAAATTACTAGGAACTAATAATCTAAGCAGTAATGCCAGGTGGTACGAGTTCAGGAACGCACCTCCAACCTTTGCGCATTGCACAAATTTCTTTTCAATGTTAGGAACAAATTAAAGTGTACATGGTGGGAAGGGAGGGAAAGCAGGGCTCGGTAAACTTCTGGCACAAGGGGACACGTCTTGTGGGGACGACCCCTGGCACAAGGGAACGCGTCTCCAAAGGAACACGGAATCTCACAAAGCAAAAAGGGGTGGAAATTTTGCAGAGAACATTCCTCTCCTTGAAGGACTATCATTAGACTAATGCGAGAAGATGCTCTCCAATTGAAAGGCAGGCTAGTCAAGTCTGGTTGAAAGATGAAGAACCACAGGAACTGAGCAGAAAAGCATCAGACTTTCCTATCCACATGAAACTTTCAAGTTCCATACTGTGTACATCTATGGTTGTCTTCCAATGTTCTCAACAATTTTGTTTTCTAAACACTCAAGGAACTATCTCTTCCATCAAAGCTGCCTTTCTTCATGGCATGGGGCTATAGTTGCAGTGAATAAATGCACGTAAAAGATTCTCCTGAGGAAACTGTATAATGACCAAGTAGCAACATCAAGGCTGAAAATGGGGGACAATGCCTGGCTCGAGAGCAGTACATGTGAAAAAGATCTTGGAGTCCTCGTGGACAACAAGCTAAACAAGAGCCAACAATGTGATGTGGCAGCAAAAAAAGCCAATGGGATTTTGGCCTGCATCAAAAGTCATGCTACCCCTCTATTCTGCTTTGGTTAGACCACACCTGGAATATTGTGTCAAATTCTGGGCACCACAATTCAAAAGAGATATTGACAAGCTGGAATGTGTCCAGAGGAGGGCGACTAAAATGATCAAGGGTCTGGAGAACAAGCCCTATGACGAGTGGCTTAAGGAGCTGGGCATGTTCAGCCTGAAGAAGAGAAGGCTGAGAGGAAATATGATAGCCATGTATAAATATGTGAGAGGAAGCCACAGGGAGGAGGGAGCAAGCTTGTTTACTGCTTCCATGGAGATTAGGACGCGGAACAATGGCTTCAAACTACAAGAGAGGAGATTCCATCTGAACATGAGGAAGAACTTCCTGACTGTGAGAGCCGTTCAGCAGTGGAACTCTCTGCCCCGGAGCATGGTGGAGGCTCCTTTTTTGGAAGCTTTTAAACAGATGCTGGATGGCCATCTGTCAGGGGTGATTTGAATGCCATATTCCTGCTTCTTGGCAGAGGGTTGGACTGGATGGCCCATGAGGTCTCTTCCAACTTTTTGATTCTATGATTCTATGAA